CCTGCCTCGCCCCGGCTCGCACATGATGACCCAGATGGGATCGGGAGAGAGCTCGCACATGGCGATCCAGGCGGGATCGGGAGTCGGCCCGCACATTCTCCTCTATTCTCCCGGTAAGTAGACGCAGATGGCGCCATGAGGCCTGCATCAGAGTGGTCAACTGGCGGCTTCGGAGTTGGTGCTACCAGACAGGCCTCAGGTTCCTTGACAACGACCCGCTTTTTCGCTCGGGGGCATGCTCAGGTGGGATGGGCTTCACCTCTCCCCTAAAGGCAAGCGTGTCTTTTCTTCCAGGTTCTTCTGATCTCATAGACCATGCTTTAAACTAGCTTCACCAGGGGATGGGGCCACAGGGGGACATGACAACACTTCCCAGCCAAGACAGGCAATAAGCACAAGTACCCAGGTAAGAGACAGGGGTCCAGATAGTGCTGGGGTTAGGGGGGTGGTGCATACACCCTCAGGAGTCCTTAAATGCCTCTACACTAATGCTCGTAGTATGGGGAACAAGCAGGAGGAACTTGCTCTCCTGCTAGCTAACACAACCCCAGACATAGTGGGGCTCACTGAAACCTGGTGGGATTCAACGCATGATTGGGTGGTAAACATCAAGGCCTGTAGGCTGTACAGCCAGGATAGAACAGGGAGGAAAGGTTGGGGTGTGGCGCTCTACGTCAAAGAGCAAAACACGTCCTCAACAAACAGTACTGGGTCAGAGGAGGGGCAGACTGAAGTGCTCTGGCCTTCTACAACCAGGTCACAAAATCCTTGGACGCAGGTGGACGTAGCCTTTCTAGATTTTAGGAAGGCCTTCAACACCCCATTCTCATTAAAAAATTAGGTGACTGTGGTATCGATGCCTACACAGTCAGATGGTTCGCAAATTGGCTAGAGGGCCACACCCAGAGAGTGGTGGTGGATGGGTCATTTTTTACCTGGAGGGATGTGGGCAGTGGGGTTCCCCAGGGCTCGGTCCTTGTGCCCGCACTGTTCAACATCTTCATCAGCGACTTGGACAAGGGGTGAAAAGCACCTTGTTCAAATTCGTGGATGACACTAAGATGTGGGGAGAAGTGGGCAAGCTAGAAGGGAGGGACAGGCTGCAATTAGATCTGGACAGGTTACAGGGGTGGGCAGATGAGAATAGGATGGGTTTCAATACTGACAAGTGCAGGATACTGCACCTAGGGAGGAAGAACCAGCAGCATACCTACAGGCTGGGGAACTCCCTTCTCGTCAGCACAGAGGCAGAGAAGGATCTTGGATTTGCTATTGATTCCAAGATGAACATGGGCCACCAATGTGAGGACGCGGTCAGTAAGGCTAACCGCACCTTATCATGCATCCACAGATGCATCACGAGCAGGTCCAAGGAGGTGATCCTCCCCCTCTGTGTGACATTGGTCAGGCCGCAGTTGGAGTACTGCATCCAGTTCTGGGCACCGCACTTCGGAAGGGATGTGGACAGCATGGAGAGGGTCCAGAGGAGGGCCACTCACATGATCAGGAGTCAGCAGGGCAGGCCCTACGAGGAGAGGCTATGGGACCTGAACCTGTTCAGCCTCCACAAGAGAAGGCTGAGAGGAGATCTGGTGGCCGTCTATAAACTTACCAAGGGAGACCAGCAGGGAATGGGAGAGACCCTGTTCCCTCTGAGCACTACCAGGAATAACTAGGAATAACGACCATAAGTTGACTGAGAGTAGGTTCAGGCTAGACATCAGGAGGCGCTACTTCACAGTCAGGGTGGCTAGGATCTGGAACCAACTTCCAAGGGAAGTGGTGCTTGCCCCTACTTTGGGGGTCTTCAGAAAGAGGCTAAACAATCACCTTGCCGTGGTTGTCTGACCCCAGCATTCTTTCCTGCCATGGCAGGGGGTCGGACTTGATGACCTGCTCAGCTCCCTTCCGACCCTACCTACTATGAAACTATGAAACTAACTGAATTGGGTCAGGGCCACATCCTCCCCCTCCCCGCCCCTCTTCCCCTCCCCCGGAGCTGGATCAGGTCCAGACCATGCCCCTACCCCGCTCCTGCAACTGGACTAGAGCCAGACCACATCCCTCTTCCCCCCATGGGGCCAAGCTCCCTTCCTCCCATCCAGGGGGGCCAGTTAAGTCCAGGCTGCCCCCACCCACCACTTGGTATGGCCAGATAGGTCCCACTGCAACCACCCTAGGCACTGCATCTGGGCCACCAGCCAGATCCGACCTGCGAACCAACTGGGCACTGTTCATCCAGCCTGCAAGCCAAAACATTTGAACATTCCAGTAATCAAGCTATGTTTTCTTCTGCAACTCTGAAGCCTGGTAACTACTCTGATATTGGAGCTCCTATTTCACAGCCCTGAAGATTTTTTTAATTCTAACTAAAAGTATTAACTCAGGTGTGGAAACAGCTTTCAGTGAAGCACTGGATGCACAGTCAAGTTGCCCAAGAAGGCTAGACTTTATGAACCTGAACAAGAGATGTCCATTTAATTCTAATGACGATGGGACTAATGAAACAACAGCTTTTCTGATTACTTTTGCCTAGTTTGTTGTGTTTTTATACCTGATAAAAGATATGACTTGTGAGGAGAGGCTGAGGGAGCTGGGCTTATTTAGTCTGGAGAAGAGAAGACTCAAGGGAGATTTAATAGCAGCCTTCAACTACCTGAAGGAGGTTCAAGGGGACTTATGAGGAATGACTGGGGGAACTGGTCTTGTTTAGTCCAGAGAAGAGGAGACTGAGAGGAGACTTAATATCAGTCTTCAGCTACCTGAAGGTAGGGTTGAAAGAGGATGGAGCTGGACTGTTCTCAGTGGTGGCAGATGACAGAACAAGGAGCAATGATCTCAAGTTGCAGCAAGGGAGGTTTAGGTCAGGTATTAGGAAAAAGCTCTCACTAAGAGAGTAGTAAAGCACTGGAACAGGGTACCAAGAGAGATGGCCTCTCTCCATCCTTAGAGGTTTTTAAGACCCAGATAAACAGTCTTGGCTGGGATGATCTAGTTGGGGATGGTCCTGCTTTGAGCAGGGGCTTGGACTAAATCAGCGCTTCTCAAAGTGGTGGTCCGTGGACCGGTGCCGGTCCGTAGTGAGTTGCCAGGAGAGAAAGAAATATATTTGCCAGTCCGCAGCGAGTTGCCGGGAAAGAAGGAAATATATTTTCAGAAGCATAACATTGATATGTCATAGCGCCACAGTTCGTACATTCCAGCACTCCAGGTGATGCCGCATCGTGCGAGGTGAGGAAAGAGAAAGAAACAGCCTGTCGCACATTTGTGTAGTGCTGTTACACGCAGTTGTTGCCACCGGCTGAACTGGGCACCGGTCTCTGGCCCACTGGAAAAAAAATTGCCAGTCCGCCACATCAGACAGTTTGAGAGGCACTGGATTAAATGACCTCCTGAGGTCCCTTCCAACTTCATTTTTCTTTGATTCTACATAGCAAATGAATGCACGCGCCAAGAAGTCAGAATTGATTTTGCTTGCCTCTTACGCCGAACCCAGGCCTGGGCCCCTGGCACATCAGTAACACTCCCTTTCTACCTGAAGAAAATGATGCTGTATTCTACATGAGGATGCACCGCACCCCACTTTGCAAAGTCCCAACTCCCCTTCCCCATAGGCATCATCTTGGCACCAGCCCTGCAAAGCCCCAGGCCCTGGCATCAGGCGCTGTGAAAATGGCATCTGTTCTTTAGTCACAAGAAACAAACACACACCCGCAAGCTTTATAAAGGCAAGATCCGGGGGCTTGGCTGACTCCACACCAGGCCTGCTACAGAGAAACCCGAGCTCCAGGGGCCGGGGACTGCAGCAGGCAAGGCGGGGGAAGGGCGCGGCAGGTGCCCGAGCCCCGCCCGGTTGCCGCGGCAACGCCGGCCGCGGCCTTGTTCGCCCGCTCCCCGTTCCAAACCCGCCGGCATGGCCTCGGCGCAGCCCGCCCGCACCTACAGCTACTTCAGCCAGCCCCGCGCCCTGCCCGCGCGCCGCGCCTACCGCGGGCCCGCCGAGCAGTGAGTGCCCGGCCCGGGCGGCCTGTGCCGGGGCTGCAGTGGGATGGGCTGGGATGGGGGCCCGAGGGCTGACTGCTGACTGTGCTGTGTGTGTGTCCACTGTGTTGCAGGCCCGAGGAGCCGCGGCGCTATGCCAACCTCATGTACGACCGGCGCGTGGTGCGGGGCAGCACCTACGCCTTGCCCCAGCTGCCCTGGGTGAGTGCCAGCGGGCAGGGGCTGGAGGAGCTGGTGGGCCCCACCAGGGTCTCCCCCACCCCTGGCTTCTGCCTAGGGACCCACGCTGTCTGGATGCTCTTGACCACCCGTACGCCATGGCTGAGGGAGTGCGCTAAAGCTCCGGCACCTCTGATTTACATCGCCTGTTACAGGGGTGCCCAGCCTTTCGATGGCACGGGCAGGGCTGGGTGAGAGCCTGGGGGCTGGTCTGTGGGCTGGATCCAGCCTCATGAGGCAGGATCAAGCCCTTGAGCCAGGATTTGGACCCTGTGCCATCTCCCTGAGACCTACCTGCCGCCCTCAGCCCCAAGCTGCAGGGTCATAGCCCACAGCACCTCCGGGCAGCTCCTGTGTCCCTGGATCAGCCCTGTGCCACCTCCGCATACAGATCCAGTGTGCCGTCTGGCCTGCTGTGCTCTGCCAACACCAGAAATTTGGCAGCAGAAGAGTTGCAGTTGCTGCCACCATTGCCCCATGGCACCTTTGAGGAGCCCTGTAGACCAAGTGGCATGGCTCTGCAGGCTAGATCTGGTCCATGGGCTGGGGGTTGAACACCCCTGGTCTATAAGGTGTAAATCTACTCTATCTTCTGCCCAGTGCTGTTAGCCAGGGGCTGGTGACCTGCAGGCCAGATCTGGGGTGCGAAGCCTTTGGATGTGACCTGCAGAGCAGTGGCTGTGGTAGCCTTCAGGAGCAGAGGGGTTGTACCCATGCTGCATCACAGGCAGGTGGCAGAGAGATGAAGCAGCAGCAGTAGCAGCAGCTGTGTCCTGGTTCCCACCTTCCTCCAGTGGAAGCTGGGTCAGTGTGGGCCCCTGCTGGAAAACACTGCTGACCCAGTGCTTCTTCTCGTGTCCTGTCACCATGTTCAAATTTGAGTCCAAGAATAGGCACATGCTCTTGCTTGATCTGTAGCCTGAGCAAAGTCCTCCTTGGTGAATGGTTCCTCCATATGTGGGCAGGCCGGTAGGTGTTCTGTAGTGTGAAAAATTCCTCCTCATTCACACAGGAGGGTTGTGTCATTAAGAGTATCCCCACAGCTGCGTGTTAACTTTACACTTACCTCTGTTCGGAGACAATTCAAGCTTCTCCATGTTGGGCAATCAAGCTCTGAGTTTTCACAGAGAGATTTGACAGTGTTGATATTCATCCTAACTCCCTCCTGGATCATCTTTAGTCATGACTGCTCTTCACTTGGGAGAAGAAGGTTCCCCACTTTTCCTTTCTGACCATGGTGGGTGTGGTTGAGCCCAGCAGTTTGCTTCCTCCCATGATCCTCAGCACTGCTGTGAGGGCATCATAGCTTTAGGATCATGGCTTCTCCATTAAGTTGAGCTCTCTTTTCCTGTAAGAGGTCAGCGTCTCCACAGTGCCCCAAGGCTGAGGACGCACAAACTGCTGGCTCATGGTACAGGAATCGTTTCTCTCTCTCTGGGTCTGTGTTTTAGGGTTGGTGGTAGTTTTATGAAGAGGTTAGATTATGGATTGTACAGGATGGTTGGGATGATCCTGTCCAGGCAGGGGTTGGACTGCATGACCTCTGGAAGTTTCTTGCAGCCCTACTTGTCTATGATTCTGTGATTCTCAAGACACCTGGATGGATACTTTTAGAGGTATTCATTTGTCCAAAAATATTCCCCGGCATTTCATTTTCAGAACAGGTCAGATGCAAATTTCAAGCACCATTGCACTATGGAAAGTGATTTTGTGAAAATGGCCCTGTGACCTGCCATGGCTATTTCTCATTGTATATCAAATGCACTTCATTTGCAAAGTGCAAATGTGTTTCCTAACTGTGAATGTGACATTGAATCACAAAGTCAGTCTAGGTTCCTGCTGGCTCACATTTCCCCCAGAAAAAGACTCTGAAATGAGTATTTAGTGAGGGATGCTGTGGATACAGGGTGAAGTAGTCCAGAATCTACTTAACACTTCCATAGTTTCCTCAGTTTTGCACTGCTAATGGCAGGTAAGTGGAATAAGGATTTGTTCTAGTCAGTGTAATAAGCAGGTTCATTGCTTGGAGCAATGATGAGCAGCAATATGAGTAAGACCAGTACATTTTAGCATAATTTGTTTTTCAGAGCAGAACTGCCTTTTAAACCTAGTGGAATTAGATATCCATGTCCAAACAGCTCTGAACCTAGGATTTCCTTAGATTGCTAACCTGTAAGGGTTTGTGCACCTGCTTAGCTTTATGCACTGAAATCAATGGAGCAGCTTACAGTACTTAAAGTAAAGCGATATACATGTCTGTGCAGGGTCAGTCCCTTAGAAACCAAATCTGAATGATCTGATTTGTAGAAATAAGAAAAAAAAAAAATCACTTAATTGTAGAGGGTAATTAGTAGTGTTGTCATTAGAAATTGTGCATCCATTGTTTCCTGTTATTTTGAAACGCCTTTTATATCAATCCCCAGGGTCCTCAGCCAGATCCTCTTGAAGTCCAAAGGCAGGAAGAGGAACGCAGGAAAGCACGTGCCAGAAAGCGGGCAAAGGAGCATCTGCAGACAAGAACTCCTGAGCCCGTAGAAGGCAGAAAGCACATTGATGTGCAAACAGGTCTGAAAGGCCTATGGCGTCCCTTTTATTTCATTATTAATGGGAAAGGGGAGAAGGTAGTAACACATAGAATTAAGGTGTCTAACCATTTCCATTGTAACACCTGGCTTTCAATTGTTCATAACTTCAACACTTACCATGTGTACTCAGATCCAGAATGAGGGTTTCCCCCCCCCATTCAGCAACCAGGGGGAACAGAACCACATCTTGGATTCAGATACTGTCCTGGGGTAAGCAGCTGCTGCAACTCCAGCTCTGGCTCTGGCTGTAACCCGGACCTAGGCAAGCAGGACCACAGGTCATGGATTGGGTAACATGGCAACTGGCCAATTGAGAGGGCAGGTATGGAGGGGAAATGGCAGGGGGAACATGCAGCAAAGGGGCAGGTGCCAGGGGGCAGAAACACCGTGGGGGAGGGGGAAAATAGGAGGACAGGTGGTAGGGGTCAAACACTGGTGGGGGGGAAGAGAAAGTGGCAGCAGAAATGGGCACCAAGGGGCCAGAAGCCAGGGGCACAGATGTGAAGGTAGGGCAAGTGGTGAGATGGGCAGATGGGGGAGCAAGTGGCCAGGGCAGGCAGGTATGGCGGGGAGGGGAGGGGAGGGCGGGGCAATTTGTGGAGAGACAGGCAGCAGAGTGACAGGCACAGGAGTGCAGGAAGGAGTGCACAGGTGCCAGGGAGCACATGGCACAGGTCCAGGTGCAGGGGTTGGACCACTTGCCTCCCCAACACCTGCCCCCACACTGCTGTTTTCCTCACTGCCTGCTCCCCTGCCACTGCTTTCCCCACCACAGCTGCTAGAGGACAAATATAACAGGACCTTCCAAAAACCAGATTCTATACAGAGAAAATTCTAATAAATTTATGATTTTCCATGTATACAATCTCTTTCTGTGGGAGTTGTCTTAAATTCCAAGTCATCTTGGATTCAGGCAAATAAAATTTCCAGGTTTAGTGTCTGCTGCAAAATCTGCATAAAAAATAGTGCAGCCATTTCCAAGAGGAAGGGTACTATTAGAAACCAACCCCAAACAGCTGTTTTTAACAGGACTGTAGCCCACAAGTGTTTATGGTAGAAACTTGAGTTTTGGCAGTGGGGCAGTGATGAGATCAGTGTGGTGCAAATCTGTTCATATTTGACAGGAAAAGTTGTCAGTTGTGTGTACTCAGCAGTTGTGTCCCTAAGTTTTTGAATATTTCAGTGGCTTCTCAGTCCTGCTGAGCATCCTGCACTGTTTGCCAGCTGCAGTAGCAATGCCTTTTCTCCATTTAAATACCTTTTGACCTAGGGGGAAATTCACTGATTGGGAGTTACTGTTCAGCTCTTACCTTTTCCTCTGACCCGTGTTAATGTTGTTCACTTCACAGTCCTTATTTCTGAGCAAGGCCTCATGCCTCTTCCCCTAGGAGGCAGGCAAGTGGAATTCCCCTTGTCTAGACATACATTTTGCATGTGTGCGACTTCTCAGATCCTTAGCTACCCTGTGGTTATTTCTGAGAGCTAGAAATAGAACGCAACAGGTCCAAGTCTCATCCACTTTGCCACTACCTCTCAGAATGAATACACTGAAAAAGAAAACACATGCGTTTCAAATATATCTAAATAGCATATATGCTACCAGTGACCTTTTTCATCTTAACTTATAAGAATTAACCCCACCTGAACATAACGTAAGAATTGCCATTTACTGGGTCAGACCACAGGTCCATATTGCCCAGTATTCTGTCACACAGTGGCACAGAGTGAATGTTGAAAAAGAGAATAAACTGGGTATGACCAGGGTGTTTTTTTTCTACTGTTCCTCTCTCACTTGCAGCCTCTGGCCTTTAAGGTCTAGGAAATTCTAATACAGAGGCTGTATCCCTAGCTCTCATGCTCAGTAGCTACTGATACCCCTTTCCTCCAATAATTTGTCCAGTCCCTTTTTGAATCTGACTAAACTGTCAGCTTCCACAACATCTGGTGGCAATGAGTTCCACACTTTAGTTACACACTGCGTGAAAAAGAATTTCCTTTTGTTAGTTTTAAACTTACTGCCTACTAGTTTCATTTTGTGACCCCTAGTTCCTGTTTTGAGAGAAAGTAAATAATAAGTGCCTATTTACTTTCTCTTTGCCGTATAGTATTTTGTAAACCCTTATCACATCTCCCCTCAAGCGTCTCTTTTCTAAACTGAATAGGCCTAGCCTCTTAAGTCTCTCCTCATATGGAAGCCCCTCCATACTATTAATCATCCTGGTTGCCCATCTCTGGATCTTCTCTAGTTCTTCTCTATTCTTTCTGAAGTGAGGGGACCAAAACTGGGCACAGTATTCAAGGTGTGGACACACCACAGATGTATAAAGGGGCATAATGAAACTTTCTATTTCATTTACAATTCCCTTCTTAATAATCCCTAACATTGTGTTTCCCTTTTGATGGCTGCTGAGCACTGAGCTGATTGATATTTGTAATGAACAGCGATTCCCAGATCTCTTTCCTGTGTGGTAACAGCTAATGGAGAGCCCAGCATAGTGTATATATACAATTATCTACATTGAATTGTATCTGCCATTTAGTTGCCCATTTGCTCAGTTGTGGGAGATATTTCTGTAGTTCCTCACAGTCCTCCTTGGTCTTCACTACTTTGAATAATTTTGTGTCATCAGCAAATTTAGACACCTCGCTACTCACCCCTTTTTCCAGATCATTTATGAATACGCTAAATAGCACTGGTCCCAACATAGATCCCTTGGGGACCCCCTGTTTGCTTCTTTCCATCCTGAAAGCTGACCATTTGTACTTAATCTTTGCTTTCTACCTTTCAGCCAATTTCTAATCTGTGAGTGGACGTTCCCTGTAATCCCATGATTACCTAATTTAGTTAAGAGCCTCTGATGGGCGACCCTGTCAGAGACTTTTTGGAAATCCGGATATACTGTGTCAAGTGGATCGCCCTGATCCACCCACTTATTGACACCCTGAAAGAACTCTAGTAGGTTGGTGAGGCATGATTTCCCTTTGACAAAGCCATGTTAATTCCTCCTCAGCAAGTCATGTTCATCCATATGCTAAACAATTATTTTTATTATTGTTTCTACCAGTTTTCCAAAAGCAGAAATCAGCCTCGCTGGCCTGTAGTTCCCTGCATCCCCTCTTGAGCCTTTTTTAAATATGGGAGTCACATTGGCAAGCCTCCAGTCCTCTGGTACCAAGGAAGTTGTTACTGATAGGTTGCATACTACAGTTAGAAGTTCAGCAGTTTCCTATCTGAGTTCATTCAGGACCCTAGGGTGAATGCCATCAGGTTCTGGTGATTTGCTACTGTTTAATTTATCAAATTCCTCTACAACCTCATCTATCAAAACCTCAGCTTGGGTCAGTTTCACTGACTTGTCCCTAGAGAGAAGTGGATCTGGTGACAGAATTTCCCTAATATCTTCCAAAGTGAGGACAGACTCAAAGAATGCATTTAGTTTCTTGGCAATGTCCCTGTCATCCTTAGCACCACTTTTACACCCTGATGATCCAAAGGTCCAACTAACTCCATGGCAGGTCTTTGGCTTCTAATATATTTAAAGAAATGTTTATTGTTGCCTTGTGTGTCTATCAAGTTTCTCCTCCAATTCTCTTACTGTGTCTTTATTCCAGTTTTACATTTGCTTTGCCAATGTTAATGTTCTTTTTTATTTTCTTCATTAGGATTTGACTTCCACTTTTTGAAATAAGCCTTTTTTCTGCTTATTGCCTCTGCAGCTCTGCCATTAAGCCATGCTGGCTTTCTTTTGGTCTGCTTTCCATTTTTTTGATTTGTGGTGCGCATTTGTTTTGTGCCTCCAGCGTGGTGTTTTTAAACAGTTCCCATGGTGCCTACAAGTTTCTCACCTCTTTAGGGGCACCTTTTAATATGCATATAACTAGCTTCAGGGCCAGCCCGCCCTATCCTGCGGAACCTGTGGCCACAGAGGGCCCCGCAGCCAAGGGTCCCCCTGTGGCCATGAACACTTGAAATCAGTACCATAGCAAGGCGGGGCAGGCGGTTGCTACCAGTCTGCATTGCCATAGCTGCCAGCTCCAGGTCCTGCTGCTCGCCAGCCCCTCCCCACCACTGCCAGCTTCTTCAGCTGCTCAACACCCCCTCGCCACCTCCACCCTCTGCTGGCTTCTTCAGCCAAACGCCGCTGCCGGCCAGCTTCTTCACATAAGTGGGCCCCAAAACTATATTTTGCAGGGACCCCCCCAAAAATTGTGGGCCAGCCCTGACTAGCTTCCTCATTTTGGTGTAGTCTCCCTTTTTAAAGTTAAAAGCTACTATGAGAGATTTCCTTGTCTCCCCTCCAACATGGAGGTTCCTACCTGGAACAGTTTATTTCTCAAAGTGATTTGAAATCTAGTAATTAAGACTTAGGGTAAATAATTTCACCTACTTCTGAAATCTGACAAATGAAATATCACTGTATGAACTGTTCCAATTAAATAGACCAGACCTTATGGACTACATGATAATGGCAGATGTTACACAGAAAATTGGCATAGATTTTAAGTCGATTCTTTATCTTCTCATCTAATCATTATATTGTACCTTATTTTGGTATAATTAAGGTATCATTTAGTTTGCCAAATTATATTAATGGTTTTTAAAGCAAGATGGAATCCTACATACCATATTCATTATGATCTTACTTTGCAGAGTTATATTTGGAAGAGCTTGGTGACCGCATAATAGAAGTTGATGTGGAGTGTCAAACAGATGCATTTCTGGACAGGCCGCCTACTCCACTCTTCATCCCAGCTAAAACAGGGAGAGATGCTGCCACACAGATACAAGAAGGAGAGGTACAATGCAGATTTTCATCTCTAAGTACCATAATCAGACTTCTTTTAGATTAAAAAGTTTGTGATACAAAAAGATTAACTAAGGCAAAAACATTTCAGAAACATTGAGGATATTTCTTATAGAGAGATTTAAAAATCCCCAAAATATCCTTACAGAATGCTAGACATCTTCAAAATTAAGGAAGAGTCGTCTTCTTCTTCAATTATATCATTTTAGGAGTACTACTTAGAAGCAAAAATTAAATAATTTAGAAATTCTTCTGTGTGCACAAACAATAAAGTTAATGGACACTAAAGATGTCCATGAGTGCATGACTAGGATCCAGTTCAGCTTCCTGGCTCTGACTGGGATACCAAGATCAACTGTGGTTTGAATTAGTTTGTTGATTGGGCCTATCAGACAGACTGGGACCTATTGTATCTTGCTATGGGTGCCTTTCTAAAATGAGGAGAGTGTTAAAGTTCTCAGAAAATATTTGAGCAACTGAAGTGGTAGAAGCTGCCACTGAGGAAGAGCAAGAGTGACAGAATTCTAAAGTGCAGTTGATGTGTCTGTCAGGTTACAAATAACATCATAGTCATGCTTACTAGTGTTTCGTTCGTATCATCTGCATTCTTGCAGGAATAAACTTTTCTGTTCATCTTGATAAGACTTAGAATTGATTGAAATCTAGAAACATGTAGCTCATTTACTTTACTTTTGTCTTCAGCTGTTTGACTTTGACATTGAAGTCAAACCAATGCTGGAAGTTTTGGTTGGAAAAACGATTGAACAAGCTTTGCTGGAAGTGATGGAAGAAGAGGAGTTGGCCAATCTGCGGGCACATCAGTACGCATTTGAGGAACTGCGGAATGCAGAGCTTGCTGAAGTACAACGCCTTGAAGAACAGGAGCGGCGCCATAGAGAGGAAAAGGTATGGAGCAAAGGGAGTAAACCAGGGCTGTCTAAACATTCAAGGTCTTCATTTTCATTTACTGACAAGCATATATTCATTTGGCTTTATTCCTCTTATAAGAACTGGAGAAATGCCATACTGACATTTCATACTGGGTTCGTCTAGCCCAATATCCTCTTTGAACAATGGCAAATAGCAAATGCTTTAGAAGGAGAGTGTATGAAGGGAGAATGTCTAGAATGATCCATTCCCTGTCAGGCCCTCCCTAGAGCTAACTCTTATGGGTAGGGATGTCAGGGAATACATCCCTGACTGTTCTATTTAATTGTTCACAAAGGACCCATCCTCCATTAATTTATCTAATCCTGTTTAGGACCCTGTTATATTATCTGTCTCTCCAACTTCAGGCAGAGCTGGGAGAGTCAATAAACTTCATGGCTGATTAGAATCTACTTGATTCCTGCTAATTGTTCTTCACTCAACAGGTGTTAATGATGCACTCTACTTTTTCATGGTCTTTCTATCCTTTGGTCTATCTATACTTCTGTCCTTTCTTCAGCAGTTTGGCTGAAGTATTTACAGTTTAGCTATCCTTGTCTCTCCTCTTTCACAGATTTGCAGACTACTTTTAGCTCTTTTCAAAATCCTAGCTCTGCCCATGGAGTCCCATCTTCAGCAGCAGTTATAGTTTCAGCTTTTGGCAGAGCAGCTGACAATTCAACAGTGAAAGTTATGGTTGCATACAGCAGAGAGAGAATCTTATTTGAGGTCATTTGATGTATGAGAAAATATGGTCCGTTTCATATATTTAAAAAAACTCCTGTAAAATTGGACAGCTGTAGTTCGGTCCATTGCTTCTAGTTCTGCATACATCAGCAGAATGCAGCAGCATTCATTTGGAACACTGATATTCCAGTCGGAACAACTGTCACGGCGGGGTCCTTCAGGTGGGCCGTGATCTCCTCAAGGCCCTCTCTCCGCGCTAATCTGGCCCAAGGTCACCCTCCATTCTCACCCACCACGTCTTTGTTCTTAAAGTAAAATGTAATAGGGAGGCTGCCTTGCGTCTCCTCGGGCACGTAAACTCCTGGACCCCTTGTAGGTCTCCCCATACACTGGGTGCTACTCAAGCACCCTAGCCTTGTGGGCTGCGCGGGGCTCCTACCACCCCTAATACCACGCCCCAAGCCTCGCTGATGTACCTGACGTTGGCGTGTCCTTCTCCATGTACTCTGCCCCCTCTCTGGGATCTTCTCTCATAAAGCGCTCCCCTCTCCGGGGGGGGGGGGGGGGGGGGGGG